AACATGAACCTGACACAACTCCGGGAGGCAGTAGAAGACAGGAGGGCCTGGCGTGCTCTGGTCCATGGGGTCACGAAGAGTCGGACATGACTAAACGACTAAACACAAAACACCCTCCATTACGCTCTCTACACAAGAACTGGAGGTTGTTCATGACTTTGTGTACCTTGGCTCAACAATCTCTGACACTCTCCCCCTAGATGTTGAGCTGGATAAACACATTGGGAAAGCAGCACAAAGAGAGTATGGCTTAATAAGCAGCTGATGGCATACACCAAGGTCCAGGTCTACAGAGCCTGTGTCCTGAGCACACCCCTGTACTGTACTGCACTGAGTCCTTTGTGCACAGCAGGAGAGGAATCTGAACACATTCCATATGTGTTGTCTCTGACATATTTTTGGTATCACCTGGCAGGACAAAGTTCCAAGTAGAGTAGTCCCAGAATGAGCTGGAATTTTTAGCATGTATACATTACTGAAACAGCAATGTCTACATTGGCTTGGGCATGTCGTGAGAATGGCTGATGGTTGGGTTCCAAAATACCTCCTGTATGGAGAATTAGTGCAGAGCAGAGAAATCACCCCAGAGGGAGACCACAGCTGTGATACAAGGTGATCTGCAAGTGGGATCTGAAGGCTTTAGGAACAGACCTCAACAGATGGGAAACCTTGACACCTCAGCGTTCAGCCTCGAGGCAGGCAGTGCATCATGACCTCTCCCAATTTGAAGAAACACTTGTCCAGCCGGCCGAAGCAAAGAGGCAGTCCCGAAACCAGGAAAATCAGGGAGCTGGACAGGGGACAGGTTTTATTTGTCTTCAGTGTGGAAGGGATTTTCACTCTCAAATTGGCCTTCTCAGCCACACTAGATATTGTTCCAAGACCTCTACTCAGAGCACGTCACCATAGTCTCACAAGACTGAAGGACGCCTACATAGGTTCTTCCTGGAGGGCAGAATCCAGAGGGTGGTGCTGCGAGACTCTTCTTCAACATCCTGGTCATTGGCCTGTGGTGTCCCTCGTGGTTCTGTTTTGTCTCCTATGATATTTAATATCTACATGAAACCACTGAGAAAAGTCATCTGGAGTTTTGAGATTCAATACCACCAGTACACTGATTACACCCAACTCTATCTCTTCTTTCCATCTAAACCCGAGGAAGCTGTCTCGGTTCTAAATCAGAGTCTGGTGTCAGTAATGGACTGGATGAAAGCAAATAAACTGAAACTTAATCCAGACAAGACAGAGATGCTCCTGGTCAGTTGAAAACCAGATCAAGGTATAGGGTAGCAGCCTGTGCTAGAGGGTTATATTCACTCTGGAAACACAGGCACACTGCTTGGGGGTGCTCCTGGATTAATCTCTGAGCCTTGATGCCTAGGTTTCAGCAGTGGCTTGAAGTGCCTTTGCACAGTTAAAACTAGTGCGCCAGCTGTGCCCATTTCTTGAGAGGTCTGATCCGGCCACTGTAACACATGCCCTAGTTACATCTTGGTTGGATTACTGCAATGCACTCTACATGGGGATAGCTTTGGAAAGTGTACAAAGCTATCCCCATGTAAAAAGGTCCAGAATTCCACAGCCAGTTTGTTAACTGGGGTTGGTTACAGGGAACATGTAACACCCCTTTTACAACAGCTCCACTGTCTGCTAATCAATTTCCATGCACAATTCAAAGTGCTGTTTTTAACCTACAAAGCCCTAAACAGCTTGGGTCCAAGCTATCTAAAATAATGGTCTCCAACCTTGGGCCTCCAGATGTTTTTGGACTTCATTTCCCAGAAATCCTGACCAGCAGAGGTGGCGGTGAAGGCTTCTGGGAGTTGTAGTCCAAGAACATCTGGAGGCCCAAGGTTGGGGACCAGTGATCTAAAAGACTGCATCTTCTATGAGCTTGGCCAGGCATTAAGATAACCAGGGGAGGCCTTTCTCTCAGTCCCGCCACCCTCACAGGTGCACTTGATGAGGACACAAGAGAGGGCCTTCTCTGTTACTGCTCCCAGACTCTGGAACTCCCTCCCATGGAAAGCTAGGTTTGATCCAATCTTTTCTGTCCTTCCACAGGCAGGCAAACACCTTTCTCTTCAGGCAGGCTTTTTCTTAATGACTGGTACTCTTAGAGGGGTTTTAAATGGACTGTTGTGCACTATTGTTTTAAACGTGTTCTAATATTGATCTTCGTTACCATTTTAATATACTGTAGTAATTTAATTCTTTTTAAACATTTGTATACTTATTGTTTTAGCTTTCAAATACTGTTTCAGTGATGTAAGCCAACTTGGGTCCTTTTGGGGAGAAAGGCACCATAGAAATATTTTAAATAAATAAAATAAAATATTTCAAATTAGATATTCTTTCTTGAGCTAGGGATTGCAAGACCACAGCAGTATTACTTAGGGAGAAAATACCTAGAAAATGTGAAGATCGGATTTTGATAAGCAAACATATCAGAGCTCTAATATTTTAAATAAATAAAATAAAATATTTCAAATTAGATATTCTTTCTTGAGCTAGGGATTGCAAGACCACAGCAGTATTACTTAGGGAGAAAATACCTAGAAAATGTGAAGATCGGATTTTGATAAGCAAACATATCAGAGCTCTTTGGAAAAATCTATTAATGATTTGCTTATTATTCCTTATGTTGTAATCAGGGTTCCGTGCAACTAAAGAGTAGGAAAAATACAAATTGATCTGCTCTGAATTTGCACCCAGAAGTCAGATTTCCCATGCTAAATTCACTCCAGCTGATCAGAGACTTAGCAGTTAGCATTGTGTTAAGGCAGCTTCTGTGTGTCTCTGACCTCCTACAGATCTGGAGGCAACACAATGTGAATGCATTGACTGTCAAAAAAGTAGAAGTCTCAGAAGGAATGACAAAACTATGAATGGAAGTCTGAGCTGATATGTATTGACTTTTATTTTGTGTAGTCACAGAAAATAATACAAATCTGACTGTCCTGGAGCAGTTCCTATGTTATTTGTCAATATATTTGCTCCTTTGGTCTGTTGCAGTAAAATGACAGAAGGACAGATGGTTTCATAAGGGATGTGTGGGACCACAGAACTCATGCTATAATAAATCTACTGTGCCGTATACCTCTTTATCTTTTTTTCTGTCTTCAGAGTTGTTTGCAATCTCACTCATGTTTAATTGTGATACCTGGCATCCAGACTTTTCCAAATCTCCTTGCAGTTCTGACATGCAGCCCTATTGTGTCATGCATCCTCTTGCATATAGGATTTCTTTAACCCTGAATGGTTGGCAAGCCTCAACATTAGCAATTTAGGAGTGGAGTAGAACTGAAGAGTGTGGGCCTTACATCAGGACTAATGTGTTACAAACCATTAATCAGGATAACAGCAGAAGGAAAGAAGGAGACTATGGGGTGATGATAGAGTTGGAGTCTTAAGCATATGCATTCGGATGACGAGATTAAGATTTCTCTTCCAAAGCCTTATCTGAGAAGGGAGAGGTTGCTGAACTTCCTGATGTGTTCCATTCATCTCAAGAAGTGTGCTTGGAGACAAAAAAAGCTTATGAAAAATAATGATGAAATAAAATCTATCCTTCAAACAATACTAGAAATAGGGAGATCCCATTATCAAGAGACAAAACTATCCAATCAACATCAGAAGAATTATAGTCCACAAGTGACAGGGAACAATGAAGAAGGAAATGAGAGTGTTCCAGATGATGTATGCCAATCAAAACAGGAGCTGGAGGAAATTAATCTAAGAGAAACGTCAGTCTTGGATCAGAGGAGAGTACTAAGGGAAGACAAAGGGATAAAAACAGCAAAATTAACAACAACAACAAAAAAGCCTGGAAGATCCACTGAAAATAGACCAAGTACATAAAGAGTTAGTGGACATAAATCAGATGTACAAAATGGTTTCAGAGGACATGAAAGATGGCAGAATGCTTAGAGACACAGAAATACTAAATGAAAAAAGAGAAATCAGAGAGGGAATTACCTAGAAAGATGAAAAAGGGGAAAACAAGGAAGGGCCCCTTAATATTGAAAATATGTATATATTTAACATCGGGAATTGTATAAGGGTATATTCTGTATATTAAAAAGGAGAATTAAATTGAAATAAGGGAGCCCTAATCAGGGTAAAGATGTAATATGGTGTTTTTTATTTTAGGTAAACTAAACTAGAAATAAAGCTGGGTCATGGATCTGGAACCACTTTCGATTAGAACGTTATTAGAAGACCTTGAGAATATTATACAATATGAGAGTAATATTATGATAGTAGTCATATTATATACTAAAATTTGTACATGAATGGTTTGAATGTTTGAAAGATGTTTGGAATTTGGGGGGACAACCGGGAAGACACTGAGATGTAAAAAACAAATAATTGTAAGCAAAGCATGTAACGCGATGTTTGACAAGCACAAAACAATGTACATAGATTGAAAAACTAATAAAATGTTTAAAAAAGCTTATGAAAAATAAGAACTAGTATTAAGCTCTTAAAGGGGCTGCAAGACATCTGATTTGCTTTTTGCTACAACACGGCTACTGAATTACCTTTTTGGTATAGAGGGAAGCTATTAACAGCAGATGTCAGACAGTATTTAGGAGATGTAACATGAATGATTAGGAATAAAAAAGGAGACCCTTTATTGCTATGGCATTTAGGGTAGGAGTCAAGGAGCTGTTTAAGCATCCTTGCAGAGCCAAAGCAAAATTAGGAAAAGGAGTTATGGGGAGCTGGCAAGGCCCCTGAGAAAAAATGAGGATGGCAGTGGTGGAGAAAGTAATGAGGGAACCCTCCAGTGAGCATAGTGGCAGTGATCCATACTTGAATGGTTGTGATCCTTTGTGGAAAAGAAGAAAAAGAAAGGGAGAGAGAGAGAGAGGTAGGTAGGTAGGTAGGAATACCACAAGACATCAGCTGGTACAGCAGGGGCATATTTTTCTGCTGGGACTTTCCCTTTTGCTCCTTTTAGCCACTGGTTGGTTCATTGTTGCTATTAACAGGTTTGATGGAGAAACTGAGACAAGTGGCTATGTCGCTGAAGATGGCCGGGTTCATTGCATCTCCCCTTTGCTCTATCTTACTGGCATGGTTAGCCTGGAGATTTCTCAAGATGATGGACAAACGTTTCCCTGGTCTGGAACTTGGCTGTCAGGTGATGTATTTGCTGTAATTATTTTTCTGCTTTGTATTTTCTCTCTTCTTCCACAGAACAGACTGCACACATGTTCCTCCTCTTCTTACCAGTTTATCGAGGAACAAAGTGTCCCTTTGATTTAAGCACTTGATGAAGCATTCTGATCTGTTCTTACCCGAAAACCTTAATGAAATTGCTTTACAATATGGCATGGGTGACAAAGATCGATCTGGTCAGGCACCACTCCCACCTGCAGTTCTGAGCACCCAAAGGCCTTTTGCTTCCAGGGCTCTGTTTAAAATAAGATGCTCGTGGGGGGACAGGGGGAGGGATGGGGTTTTTCCCCCCTGAATCTTCAAGCTGAGAGGCTGCAGAGGGGATCTCTACATACCAACCTTCTAAAAACTGATAGTTTGCATGCCACAGTTAATATCAGTCTGTTTGCAACAAACCATGACAGAAGCACGTATTTGTTTAGGTGAGATGTAAAGCAAATTACCAGTCTGATTCATCTTTTCTTCTACACTGCAGTTCATCATAACAAAGTGCCACCTTCAGAGAAAAGCACGTTAGTGAATGAAACAAAGTGGCAGTACTACGGCACTCCAGGGACAGGCGGGAACCTTACTGTCAGCTGGAATCACCAGATGCTGCAAGCCAACTATGTCAACATAGAAGTCTGGGGCTATAATGAAACAGGTGAGTCCACACCACAGGTGCACGTGGTTTTTCATGGCAGGTGGGGGAGGGATGCCTGTTGGCAGCCTCCATGCATATACGTAGCAGAGGAAAGTTATTGCCGTATATCTAAATTGTTGAAATATGTCAGTGGGGGGAAGGGTCTGATGTAGTCCATACTAAATGGACTGATACAAGTTTAGTGGGACAGGGCTGGTCGCTGAGCACAATCGGTTGGAGCTGTGACTTAGCATAGTAAGGTTTTGGGGAAGGGTGATCACCTGACACCAGCACCTGGAGAGGCCACAAAACAGGTGGCAGGGATACTGGGACAGTTCCTCCTGCTCAGATGCTTCCTGGGCTGGCTTAGGGTTAGGGTCTGTCAGGCCACTTACAGAAAATGCTGGACTAGAAGCCTCTTCTCTTTTGGTTGATTATTCATGTAAAATCCAGGTGGGACTTGTAGCTTGCCATTCTATGGCCCATGACGGCTAAGCCATTTCTCCTCCCTCCTTCAGGAAAACCCTACTCCAGTAATTGGGCTGCTGAATGGAAGTATCTTTACACCCTGAAAAGAAACCATTCCAATGTAGGGGAATTTACTTTTCTGCCTGTCCCATCGGCTCAGTACAGGGACTGGGAATTGGGGGCTCTGAGGATTTCTTCCAGTGCTGCTTCTGATGGTCAGAGGTGAGTGGCTTCCAGCTTCTGCTTCTGATGGTCAGTGGCTTCATCTGCCAGAATGCCAGATCTATTCAGCACCTTCTAGACTAATAATAAATAAATAAATAAATAAATAAATAAATAAATAAATAAATAAATAAATAAATAAATAAATAAATAAATAATAATA